AGTTTGAGCTTTACATACCTGTAGAAAATTGCGATGTCTTGCCAGTTTTCACACTTCTTTTCTATTCTGGGCTCTGTGCAGTACCCTAAAATTCAACCCTCTTTGGATGACCTATGTCCTTTGGGCAAGGTTAAGCAAGAAATATTCTCATTCTCTCTCTCTCTCTTTTTGTTTGTTTGTTTGTTTGCTTGTTTTGAGACAGAGTCTCACTGTCACCCGGGCTGGAATGCAGTGGTGTGATCTCTGCTAACTGCAACCTCTGCCCCCTGGGTTAAAGCGATTCTCATGCCTCAGACTCCTTAGTAGCTGGAAATTATAGGCATGCACCACCATGCCTGGCTAATTTTTGTATTTTTAGTAGAGACAGAATTTTGGCATGTTGGCCAGGCTGATCTTGAACTCCCAATTCAAGTGATCTGCCTGCCTCAGCCTCCCAAAGTGTTGGGATTACAGGTGTGAGCCACTGCAGCTGGCTGAAAATGGCCTCATTCTCTAGGACAATTATGCATTGTCTTTCCCTGCAGCAGGGCTATTATAAAATGGTGAAGTTAGTTTGATATTACCTAATACTTAATCGAATATGAATATAGAAGAGTTTCATTGGAGGAGGGTTCCATTTTGTTTTAGACAAAAGACAAACATACTACATATACTACAAATTTCTGAGAATGACCATTCATTCAGAAAATAGTTGCTTGCCATTTATAGAGCATCTATTTTAAGGTAGGTGCTACTCTAAAAGGGCTTACAGTTTTGGGGAGAGATATGATCATCGAATTTTACAATACAATAATACAATATAGTTAATGCTATCATAGAAGTGCCTGCTAGAAACAGGGAAACAGAGATGAAAGTTGAAACAGTCTATGGAATGTGAGCACATCTCACTCAGTTGCAGAGGGTGAAGTGCAGTGGTGTGAACATGACTCACTGCTGTCTTGACCTCTTTGGCTCAAGTGATCCTTTTGCCTCAGCCTCCTGAGTAGCTGGGACCACAGGTGTGTGCCACCACGCCTGGCTAATTATTATTATTATTATTATTGTAGAGACAGGGTCTCATTCACTATGTTGCCCAGGTTTGTGTGAAGTTTTACAGAAAATTAATACAAACAGAAATCAGACCTTTAAGAGTTGAGAGTAAGTAGGAGAGTTAGGACTTGTACTTACTTAGCTATTACATAGTATAGAACCCATTAAGTACCAGAAGAAAGATACAGTCATATTGTAGGGAGGATGCTTTCACATGGAGACAGGAGGGCAGTTTTCAAGGAAGAAGTGGAATTTGAGTTTAACCACGAAAGCTGAATAAGGTAGAGATGCGTTAAGATGGGCGGCAAAGAGAGAAAAGAAGGAGTGCCAGTCTTGATGACAGCAGGAGAACACATGTGACCTTGTCTTGCTCTTCATTTTCCCAAGCAGGCACCAGATACTATAACGTTGCTTTTCACTTTTAACAATGGTCTGTGCTACTAAATATGCATGACCTAACCAGCCATGATTTCTCCCCTTTGGCCTCCTCATCTGCTACTAATTGTGAGAAAACTTGCATTGGAGATAGAGCTTTATTGTAGTCCCATTTAACGGCCAGGGAATAGAGAATGGCACCACCTGAGTGATTTGCTCATGTTTTTCTATAAACTTATATCTCACATTGTTTATCATAATTAAACAGCAAATGTGCCAGGAAGGATCACTGTTTTATAAAAGAGTTTCTATATTCTTGGCCCTTGCTCCTTCAAAAAATAAAGAAAGAGAAGAGAAGAGAAGAAGGAAGGAAGGAAGGAAGGAAGAAGGAAGGACAAAATGGAAGGAAGGAAGGAAAAAGAAAAGAAAGAAAAGAAAGAGAGGAGAAAGAAAGA